AGGGTCAGTTTGATGTCGTAGTCCCTCTCCAACCCCTGTTGAAACTCGACGGCAAACATGGACTCCATGCCTATCTCGCCGAGTGTCAAGTGATCGGGTGTTGTGTTCGGGTCGATGCCCAGAGCCATCCAGATCTGGGCCACTATACGGGCCTCTCGAGTGCCGCTTTGCAGTTGACGTTTGGCCCTCACCTTAAAAATTTTAAAAATATGGTAAATTACTAAACATTTAGTATTAACATTATTAACAGTATTTACATTAACATTAATTTATTATCTATTTATTAACTAGTTAATTTATTTAACATAAATGACATCATGCTAATTATACCATCTTTTAAGACACTTACCACACATGAGACAATCGGGTGATCCGATTGCAGCAATTTATCCAATATCTCGAGACACGAGTTGATCCGTTGCTTCACAACACCTGAAAATGTGCTAAACTTATCGGAGTCGGCGATTACACCGACGTCATCGATGGGTCCCCATTGAATGGCCTGCGCGGCCAACCCCTGAGCCCTGCGGCGCTCGCATATCCTCTCGCACACAGAGTTGCCGTAACCGTAGTTACTCTGACCGGCGTTGCCTTTGCCGCACGAGACCGACGAGAACACCACGAAATAGTCCAACGGCGCCGGTAGGGCACGACTGGCGGCGTCCAACTCCGCGCAACACCGGGTCTTTGAGTCAACCGTTTCGGCGAACTTGTCGTACGTCTGATTCTCGATGAGACAGTCGTTCAACACCAGTGCCAAGTGAAACACACCGCCCACCGGACCCAACGCGCTCGCCTCGGCCAACAGCTGTCGGGCGCCTGCAGTGGTGCGACAGTCGGCCGTAGACACAGTCACGCGGCTGTCGAACCACTTGAGCCGTTGGCCAAACGCCTCCAACCGTCTGATGACAAACCTCTGGTAGTCGTGTCGGGCGCCGGACCGCGAAACCAGCACCAGTCGCCGGGCGCCCAAAGTGATCATCCAATGGGCCAACTCTACCCCAAAGCCGCCCAAACCGCCCACAATCACGTACGACTTGTTCGGGTCGAAGTAGGTCTTGCCGGTGACCGTCAACTGGCCGGCCGGCGCCACCGGACCCGACCGGAGCACTGGCAGCACCGGTTGCTCTTCGTCGCGCATCCGCAACAATATCTTCCCGATATGTTTACCGGTAGTCATGTATCGGAACGCCTTCTCGGCCTCCGCGGCCGGAAATACCGTACGATTAATGGGCCGAACGCATCCATTCCTCGAGTTCCGGTGCATCCACTCGAAGAACTCGTCGGTAAAGCCGTTCTCCAAATACAGCTTCATGTCGACAGAGACACCGATGAACGCCACGTCCCTCAAGAAGGTAAACATTCCCAACTGTTTGTTCATCTGGAGGTCGTATTTGCCGATCTCAACAAACCGACCGCAATCGGCGATCACGTCATAACTGGCCTCCAGTTTGTCGCCCGTCAGTGAGTTGAGCACCAGATTCACACCCTTCCCGCCCGTCGCCTGTTTGATGGCGTACTTAAACTGTATGTCCCGCGAGCTGTAGATCCGCGACTCCGGCACTCCGTACTCAGCCATCAGAAAGCGTTTCTTGTCGTCGGTTCCCACCGTACAGTATATGTCGCACCCGTAGTACTGGCATATGCTTATAGCCGCCTGACCCACACCACCGGCGCCCGAGTGGATCAGTATGCGCTCGCCTGTGTGACACACCATTTAATTAATCATGATGTTAACTTCAAATTTAACATTATGCTAATGTGAATGGTATACCTTTCATAAGATTGGCCCGTTTGATGAGTCCGTACCATACGGTGCTGTATGTGCTAAGAACAGTGACCGCCTCCTCCATCGACCAGTGGTCGGGTATGTGAGACACCATCCGGTCATTAGTGGTCGCTTCGGTGGCGAACGATCGCGAGAGTGTGAAACCGCACACCCGTTCCCCGTTGTCCGCGCGCCGGCCCGCGAACTCAAACCCTATCAGACAGTCCATGAATAGCGACTGCGGACCCGCAGCTATACGGCCTATAAGTGACCACAAAAATAAACATGATCATTAATTAAATATGAATAACCATGTGTGTTTATTGTATTTACCGGTGGCAAACATCACGTCCCGGAAGTTAAGTCCGGCGCAGTAGACATCGCACCGGACATTATTGATCTGATTGTTTGACAGATCATATGTGGGCCCAATCGGACTGACCAACTGTTTGGAGTCAAACCACTGAAGACTCGACAGATCCTTGTTTTGGGTGACGTTCAGGAAGTAGTTGTTGGACGCGAACCGGTCGTAGTCCCGGTGCAGAGTCAGGTGCCTATAAGTGCCGACCCGTCCGCCGCCGCTCAACACATTTACCGCCAAATCCATGGCCAGTATATCGGCGTACGGTTTGTGGCGGATATCGATCTCTGATTTGGTGGACTCCGAGTCAAACAGACACCGAATACAGTCGCCTCCCGGTTCCAGACGCAGACAGTTCACTAAACCGATGATACCGTTAATGGCTGTGGCGGATGTCTGGCCATCGCCACCACCACCGGTGCCAACCAACCAAAGCGGTAACTTTTCGTCATTGTCTTTACACGCGACGAGTTTCTCTCTCAACACATCAAACCATTTCTCGCAATTGGTGTCAATGTTGATCACCCGGTGCTTATCGGGCAACCCTTTGTCGGTCACCTTCCGGAACAGCAGTGCCGCCGAACCCACGGAATCGTCTTTGCGGCCGACGAGACGGAAACCCATTTTGCGCGCCTCCGCTGTGTAGTCGTCCACACGTTTGGCCAATCGATCGGCTCCGGGAGGAGTCTTAAGGTCCAACAGTTGAGCCAACATTAGCTCCGGTGGTGTGACTCGCGTACGAAACACAGTCATAAGAAAGCCCTGTTCGACGAGAACGTCGTGCACTTCTTGCAGGTGTGACTCCATGTCCAGCGGCCACAAGTCCTCCGAGTCTCGTGCGATCACCAGATCTTTGGGCGATATATCGCAGGGAAACGGCGACTCTTCGGGCGACCACTCCATCAGTTTGAAGGCACGGCCGCTACGGAAACTGTCGGGAACGGTGTTCAGCGCCCGTACGGCCACACTATAGCCCACGTCGATCGGATAGAGGGCCGCGGAGGCCAGGTATGCGTCCACCTCGTGAGCCATCAAAGACCCGCCGCCCGCTGTGTTCATCTCTAGCACTTTGATCTCCTTTTTCGGTACGTTATTCTCGCTGACAATGTCCACAAGGGATCGGATCAGATGCTCGTTCTTCGATACCCGACTGATTAAGTCCTGAGACAGGTCTAGAGTGGGCTCTTTGCCCGACAGATCCGCCCGGAGTTTGTCGACACACTTACGGGCCATCTCTTTGTCGAGATTGCTGTTCTCGTCGCTCGAGTCGAGGATCAGTTGATGCAATGTCTTCAGCAGGACTTCGTCTTCGCGCATGTTTTTCACGTATTTGTCGATCAATTTGTTTGATGTGTTATTATTAGTAATCTCTTCGTCGGGTTTGATATCGTTTTCGCCTAAAATGTGCTTCAATTTCATGGCAAGTGTTGTGCAGACCTTCACATGAAATGCGGGTTTAATTGATTAAAACAATAATAAATAATTTTATAGAAAAATCAGTTGGAGAGAGAGAGAGAGAGAGAGAGAGAGAGAGAGAGAGAGAGAGAGAGAGAGAGCGAGNATTGGCCGATACCATGAAAAACAAGGCTGTTGTTAATTCGGCTGGTTTTCCATATAGAGGTATGTGTAGAGATATACTGGGTATGGGGTAGGGGTAGGACTATGTGAAAGGGGGATAAATGTTATAACATAAAAGTAATACAGTTATGTTCAGTGTATTTTCAATGTTGTAAATGTATCCTAATTCCTATGCATACACTGCAACACAAATGCTTTGCAGTAAACTCATTGAAATACTGTAAATGTAATGCATTGTTGTTATTGTGTATATTCATTGAATTCAGTGCTTCAATGCGTTCACTGCATAGCATTTGTGTTGCATTAGATACAAAAGTAAGAGTTTTCAACACATGATGAAAACTGTCAAAACTTTATCTCACATTCAAAGTTGGGTTTAATTTTTTAACATCTGTTTCACATTTTTAATCTATGTAAATAAATAGTGAACTACTGTCATTAGATAGGTTTGATTAAAATTAAACATGTTGTTAATAATAATTATAAATTTTGCCACCATGGTCAACAGGCACGCTATTTATCAAGCAAACAAAACCCGTGGACGACCATGGTCATTGCGAGTACGAGTACCGGCGCCAGCACTCGTTATTCAGCGAGAAGAGCGTGCGTCCGCTATACTACTTGTTCGCGGGTTTGGGCGGCCAGTGGTCTGGTATGGCCCGGGCGTTGATGCCCATCAAACTATTCGCCGACAAAATCGACGAATGTCACCAAATTCTGGCCGAAGTCGGTATAGACTTGAAGCGCCTGCTGTTGGCCGACGACAAGCACTCCATGTCGTCGATGACCAGCAAATTTACGGCTACAACAGCCCTTCAGATCGCGCTGTTTGACGTACTGCAGGCCCTGGAGCTCAGGCCCGACGGTATTATTGGTCACTCGTTTGGTGAGATTGCCTGCGCCTACGCCGACGGCTGTCTCACCGCTAGGGAGGCGCTGATGGTGTCGTACGTGCGCGGAGTGGTCACCGAAAACGATCGCCGCGTACCTAAGGGTTTGATGGCAGTGGTGGGCCTGTCGTGGGCCGAGGCTCAGGCCCTGTGCCCGCCCGGTGTGTCTGTCGTTTGCAACAACGCCAAGGATGCTGTGGTTGTCTCCGGTATGACTTGATTATCTAATTTTCAATCTAGTTACATTAGTTTAACACACATGTGCCCCCTCACACCCCCCAACCCCTCACACAGGTATCTATGACGAGACCAAAGCCATGATCGAGACGCTGACCCGAAAGGGTGTGTTTGTCAGAGAGCTGGACAGCTGTCACATCCCGTATCACAGCCAGTATCTGACCACTTGCGCGGACGCCATGACCCGCGAGATACGCAAATACGTGCCGGAGCCGCGACTTCGGTCCAAGAAATGGATCTCTACTGCAGTACTGGAGGCCGACCCCAAGGAGGACGCGCTGCGGTACGCCTCCGCCGAGTACTTCATACACAATCTCGTGAATCCGGTCCACTTTCACAACAAAGTACGACACCTGCCGTCGGACGCCATCGTTGTGGAGGTGGGCCCGCACGGGCTGTTCGCCAAGATCATCACGCAGGCGCTGGAGTCGGCCGCCTACGTGACCCTAATCAAAAAGGACCAGCACGACCAGAATCTGGACACTTTCCTGACGGCCATCGCTCGGCTCTACGAACTCGGTCTGAATCCGGCCATCGAGCGCCTGTACCCGACCGTGCAATGGCCAGTAGCCCGGGGCACGCAGTCGATCAGTTCGCTCCTACGGTGGGATCATTCGCACAGTTATTATTTGCGCAAATTTCCCGACAACTGTTACCGAGCGTTCGCCTCCGATATGAACAAAACCGTGTGTTTGGGTAAGACTTTTGAACAGTTTCTCATCGATCACGCCGTCGACCGGAACGTGATATTCCCGGCCACCGGGTATCTGATGCTGGCCTGGCGTCAGATGGCCGCCCATAAAGGCCGCATCTGGAATCAACTGCCCGTCCACTTTCAAGATGTCCAGTTCCGGCGCCCGGTGTTCCTCTCCGAAGTGGACACCGCGCGACTCAAGTGCCGCTATCACGATGACACTGGTAATTTTGTGCGCTTTTTCGATCTAGATGCATTTTGTTTGTTTTGACAGCTAGTTGTTTGCTATAAGTTCTAGTTATACAAAATTATGTGTAATTTAGTACAACATTTGTAGTAATTAATAGGACTTTACTGTTCAACACTACTGTAGTTTATAAAACTAATAACTAGATAATTTTTTAAAAATTTACTAGCATAATGTTATTTTTAAAAATGTGCACTAACTGTAACTGCAATCAAGATGATAATGATTACATCGCTGATATTTAATTATAATTATTTGCCCAGGTGACTTTGTAATACTGGAAAACAACAACGTGGCCTGCGTGGGCAAAGTGCGTACGCCCGACGAGTCCAACCTCTGTGTCCAGCACTGGCTTCACGACCGGATCGGCGACCGGGTGTCCGAAATGGACGTCACTCTAGACACGGACCACATCTACAAAGACCTACGTGTGATGGGCTACGACTACGGGCCCGCGTTTCGCAAACTCCGCGACCTCCGCACCAACAACTTTGACACAATGGCCGGACACGTGGAATGGGACGGCAATTGGATCACATTCATGGACTCGCTGTTGCAGTCGATGGCGGTGATGGTGCCCTTTCGCAAGATGATTGTGCCGGTGATGATCAAGTCGTTGAAGTGCGACCCGCGGCTGCTGTTCGACGCCCTCCTCAGCCATAAGGTGGCCGACATCGAGACCGACTACGACGAGGAGCGGATGTTGGATGAGGTGGTGGAGAGGGACGGACCCGAAGACGATAGCGAAGAGTTTCAGACGGCGATGAAAGACAAGAGCAAAGAGCTGATGGATCAGTATCTGTCGCAGCGGTTCCACATTTATCGCTCGGTCGTGCCCTTCGTGGTGGACATGTCGTCCAAAATGGTGGTCACGCACGGCGTGGAAGTGGAGGATGTGTTCACTTTGCCGATGGCTCGCAAGTCGAACGTTCAGGACTTGAAGCTGGAGTCGTATCAGTTCGTGGCCAATGACGAGCCCGCGGCAGTTGATCCCAGGGATCAACAGTATATCGATGATTATATTAGGGTAAGTTTGAGACAATTATTGTTTTTTCAACTCGCTCTCTCTCTCTCTCTTCGTCGGGTTTGATATCGTTTTCGCCTAAAATGTGCTTCAATTTCATGGCAAGTGTTGTGCAGACCTTCACATGAAATGCGGGTTTAATTGATTAAAACAATAATAAATAATTTTAGAGAAA